GGTTATTTCTACAGAAGAATCGGAATGTGAATTCATAGCTATTGAGTGGAACAATGTCACGACTTTACTACAGTGAACAACTAGCATTTCATCCACCATATTTGGAGCTTTGGCCTGAGGATCTGAAGCTGATGCAAGAAAAAAAAACAGCATATAAGCAGGTGCTACTTCCCTCACGCTCTAGTTTTCACTGCGGTAAACTTACAAATCGTCGCTTGGTTCTTTGTGGGTAAATTTGTGCCTACAAGTGCGTCCCGATATTCAAGCTTGCCTTGTGTTGAGCCACCGTATGACTGCACATCAAATACAGAACGACAGAGACACTTTAGCTGTCTGTAAGTGGCCAATGAATGTTTTATACAAGCATGGTGACATTGGCTTAGACAAGAGGGTAGTGCAGCACTGTTTGGGGAGCATGAAGCGTGAGCTCCAATCAGGAGAGCTGGAATCTGACCTCTTCGTATCAAGATTATGACTGTCCAGTAGGTGGGACGTTAACCCTCCTCTTCATCGCTGTCCCTCATGGTAATGCCCTGCAGACCGTCCGCGGCCGACACAGCCGCCGTGGCTTCCTCGATAGTGAGCCGGTTGTAAACCGTCTCGTAGCTCTTGTTGTTCAATGTGCTGTCCAACACACCCTGCAGCCTGAAGTCACGGTACGACTTCTGCACGACAAAAATAAAGAGCAAAAACAAGCATGGAGAACAATGAAATAGTTTAAGGACACATAGATTTTACTTTTTGACTTCTCGTACATCAGGATTTGCCTGAAACGGCACTTGTGTACTGATTAATCTCTCATTCTCATGGTAATGGAATTCGTTGTGCAGCCAAGCTGAACTTGACACTCTTGTCATGGTCAATTAGCATCAACAGAGTTTCGAACAAAAAGTTCTTACGCTGTATTCTTTTTTTTTTTTTACCTTGACAATCTTGATGAGAGTTTTGAGTTGGTAAACATGCAGCTGCTGGTCGAGTCTGTCCGTCAGCCAGGCACACACAGCCTTCATTAAAGAGTTGTACCATTGCTGTGCATGTGAGAAAGAGAGAGATAAACCTTGAAGGGGATAATACATGTGCTGCAAAAAACCCTCAGTGCTTTAAGCAAATATAAAGATGTGACCCACACGGGGCGTGAAGGAAAAAGCTGCTTTTGGTTAATGTCAAAAGTTCGCTTTATGTGTGTTTTTCTTCTTCGATTGTGCCTTGAAAATTTCACATCCGCGCTCTGAAGTTCTGAAAGAACCTGCAAGAAACAGTTGATTACCTATTCAGCGTATTAAATATTCATTGCTTAATTTGTCATTACTGAACTTACAACAAGTATCTTCTCGTGCCTCAAGTATCATCTGAGGTCGCGTTTGCGTATAATAACAAAATTAAAGATAACGAACCTACTAATTACAGGGCTAACACTTGAATCTTCATATAAAGGGGTCACTTTGCACTCCAAACACCTTTAGATCACATATTACTTCACACGAGGACACCTTATATAATTACCTTAGAATAATGTCTTTTCTATAAAAGAAGCCGGTTCTTTAATCAGCAGCGTTCAGACAGTGAATCGGTTTTGCGCGAGAACCTCTGACACCAGCTTGTGTTTGCGTTCAGCCTAGTCATTTCATTTCGGAAATCATTAGCTCATGTCGTCAAAAACATAAAAAGACGATATGATTTCATGCACACGCACAAGCAAGACCGCATCGTATAAGACCACAGCATCATGTTTACTGGAGAAATACATCACTTAGACCCGTTTTCATTGAGCTGCCCATGTAATTTAAAGTCAGGCTTTACTTTAACACCGCCAAATTTGTGACGGGAGCGTAAATGAATCCAAACAGCACACAAATAATCAGCAAAGTCTGCTCCTGCCGTTAACAAGAAGCGGGCAAAACGGAAAGATGAGATGCCACTTGATTGAAGCACTTAGGCTGGTTGGGAAACAGATGACTGTGCTCTAATTGTTGGAGGTGAAAGAATGGCAACGCATTTCTTCATATCA